ACCATTCAAAGTAAAGAACCATTCTGAGGACTCAGCATCATACTGAGTCAAATATGCCTTAACAAGATCTGCCCACACACAGATTGCTTTAGTAGCTGCCACAGCAAACCTATCACTCCTGAGTTCACAAAGTAACTGACCACAGCTGCACAGAGACAGGAGCCAGAAACAGAGCCAGCATAATCCATCTACAGAGACCATCAAAATCCACTTAATACTTTTCCTCAGGCTTGAGACTCAAGGCTTGGACGCAAGAGAAAACTCGAAGGTTAGCGAGAGCTTCCACAGAGGATCACTACTGTCTTGCTGCCAGCTAGAGAACAACAGGCAGCACAGATCTGGTCTACAGCCATTACATCCATTGCATGACTAAGTTCTTGGTAAGCATGTTTAATGAGAACAAAAAGAGTAGCAGCAGAGAAGCCTGCCAGGCTTTTATCACAGAGAGACAACAAACATATACACAAGCACAAGAGGCTCATCCCTCACACTGGCATGAAGGTTAGCCCTCCTGGCAGGCAGGGGCACACAGCAGCACTGTGCAATAGGGCTCCCACACCTGGGGGCAGCCACCAATGCCCAGCTGCTACTGTCCAGTGGAAAGCTCACAGGGGTTTTTCTGTGGCTGAAACTGAAACGAACTGCTGAGCCACCTCTCAAAGGCTAGGAAAGGTACAGGAGGTTTAAAAAAAATAAAAAATCCACACTATAATATGTTATTACAAGAAATTACGCCAGCTAGAAACTTACTTCAGATAAAAATACTATTACCAAGCAGGTTAACTGAGGGGCATTTTAAAGAACAAGCAGTATCAGAAAAAGCGTATCAGGCGAATCTGGAGGATTATCAAAGAAACAAGAAAACATTCTTGTAGCAGGGATACACCAAAAAGGAATGAACCACATCTGCAGCAGCACGGCTTTCACACACAGCAGACATAATCCTGCATATAAGCATGTGTTACATTAACTGCAGAAACTTTATGCAGTACCCCTCCTGTCTGGAGGAAGCTACAGAACGAGAAAAGCCATTAACATGGTAATGAATGTGAGATGGCAGGGCTCTAAGCTCTATGAGTTTAGCCCCCAGGGGTTGTGAAGAAGAAAAAAGGAGGAGGGGATGCTGCAAGAAATCTCTGCGGGACCAGCAGCATGGGCAGCAGCCTGCTACAGTGCCAAGGGATTTCAAACAGCGGCACGTGCTTCTGGAGAGAAGGAAGCTTCAGCACAGTGCCTGCTGAGCTGGACAGAAAGAGCTGCAGGAATTGAGGCACATCTTCCCTCCTTTGGATTGCATTGCTTTTCTGAATCACAGGGTCTTCGGAGACTGAGAGTGGGTCCCACGTGCTGTGGGAAAACACAGAGCACACAAGCATTTCTTATTCTGCCTAGAGCAGAATCTCTTTTCTGCACCACGTAGGCAAAGACTCGTTCTGAAACTCAATGCAAAGCACGGGAGCCCTGCCCAAACTACGTGTATTTGCTTCAGCAAGCCAGAGTCCCTGCAAAACTCCCTGGTGATGTGAGAATCCTGGATGGGATTTACCTAAATATGGGGCTTTGGAAGGATCCAGCAGTCTTAGACACACAGCAGATGAGCAGCAGAGTTCTGTGTCAGAGGATGTTACCTGGAACACTCCTAGTCTCAGACACAACTTTGCCAGTAACCCCAAAAGCTCCAGCACCCACTGTTAAAATGCAGCAGGCCTGCTTTCTTTAGCTTTGAATTGGCTCACCAGCTGCTTGAATAACCTGACACCGAGGGGCAGAGATGAACTGTACTGACAGATAACCCTTCAAGTGTTCACCCTCACTATGCTATCTACTCAGCAAAGCTCTCCTATGCCCTCTGATATGCCTATCTTTGGGATTTTCATACAGCCTTTGCTCAAACATCAGCCTCATCGAGGATGGAGGATGCTTCCTATGAAACCTACGTTAATTCATCCTCGTAAAGGAATAAGAAATAGCATTAACATGCAAAAAAGAAGGAAGACTTCAAGATCACATGGCTCTTAGCCTTCCTCTCAAATCCTCCTCCCCTTGCACCAGTAGGCTGTCTTGCTTATTGTAACCAGAGCTCACTTGTGTACACTCCCCACAGCGAAAGGAAAGAGCACAGGAACATCAAGTTTACATCTGCAAAAGATTTTTACGTTTACTTTGAAGGATTCTTGCAGTTTGATACTCACTCACTAACCAAAAACTGCTTAAAAGATCAACTACGTACTCAATCTTAATATACACAAATGTGTCTCAGATACTGTAAAGAACCTGGGAATATAAGAAAGCCACACTTGAAGAGTTTCCCTGCTCACCTTTTCTGGGAGCCCATGGATTAGAGCTACACTGAAAGCACATAACACTGCACTGCACAGGCAGCCGAAGCCAGTGCCAGAGAGCCAGGAGAGATCCTGCCAGAAGGCATCGACCCACCTCCACCCACATCACCACTGCACAAAATGCAGAGAAAATGCTTCCACCATGGCTTGGAATTGTCCTGAAGTTCAGCCGTAAGAGCGACACATCAGCTCAGGGAACTTCAAAGATCAAATGCAGAGCAAAGGATTAGATGGAAACAAGGAAGGACGACACGTTACCATTTTATTAAGAGGGAGATGGAAGTACTCTGTTTATTTTAAAGACTTTCATCCTCCTCCTCCAACTAGAGGTTAAAATATAAAGGGCTACTACTGTACACAGATCGTTAAGTGAATTTATATTTGCATTTTTAAGCTCTTGAGGAAACAGAATGGCCAGAACTGAAAGCAATTAGTGCAGCGAACCAGACAGCTAAAATAACAAAAAACACAGAACAATGATCTCTTATTTCCCGAGTTCAGATGTCACCATCACACTTTTCTATTCATGCAGCATAGTGCATTTTGAAAAGCCGGGCTGTTTTTCTGTGCCTGAAAGGAACACAAAGAGTTCCTATTTTTTTTTTTTTTTCCCTCCAAGTAGTTTAGTAATTAGAAAAACAAAAAGTGAGGAAATGCAAACCACTGAACGAGAGAAATCTTTGGCAGGTTGCAGATCTAACATATTGGAAACTGGGTTCAAAACACAAAAGCTAAGAAGCAAAAATATTGCAAAATAGCCAAAACCTCGTGTGAGAATTTCCCCCTGCAGCATCACATATGGTGCGTGTTTTGCCATTTAACTCAGAGAGCCAAATGAGTTGCGAGACAACCTAAACATGACTAAACAGCGGAAAGTAACATCAGTCATCTTCTGCTCTGCAGTGGTTTCCCTGTACCACCTCACGGTGTGTCTCGGTGTTAAGCCGAAGAGTCAAATTGTGTGTTAACTCTGAGCGTCCTCTGGGACGGCAGTACCAGTCACCTTCTGCAATGAATCACAGAGAGGAATCAGCAACGCAATAAAACGCATGATTAACACTGAACTTTGGATGTAGGAAAGAAATTGCTTCCCGCAACCTGCATACATCCAACACATCGCTTCAGAAAACACTTCCTCGTGCAGTAACTTCTAATGACACGCATGCATCTACCCGGCCATAAATGTTCACACCATCTGTTCTTGTTACAGTTGAGCTCTCAAGCCAACTTTCAAGTCAGGCTGACAATAGTTCACATGGCTCTGATCCATCAGCTCTTTTGCAGCTAGTAATTCATTTGCAGAAAGAACTACTCAGCCAACACAGTATTTCCTTTTTACTGAGATCTGTCACAGACAGCACCAATCTCAGCCAAACTCAGTAGCCAAAAATACTGCACCAACGAACGCTCATCTATTTCTAAAATATTTTAACTAATGTGATTTTTCTGTTTTTGAGACCATTTCTTTCCAGTTTTCTTCTCTTCCAAGGCTTGCAAATGTGCATAGCATTAAATGGTTCACAGATTTATTTTTTTTTTTCAGAAACTGCCTAGAGACTCATTACGCTTCATCAGTTATATTGTCAGATAGCATTAAAAGCACCAAACAAATAAAGGGTAGATACAAAATGCAGATAGTTACAGGAAGGTCAGGTGACAACTGAATGTTCTTCTGAGACAAAGAGTCAATGCGATATTACGGGGTAACAAAAACAAGGCTTCCTTTTGCACTATTTCTTCTCCTAACATTCAGTTACACCCCTCTCCTATTTACAAGGTTGCACAGCCATGCCCCCTCCCAGCCCACCCGTCACACACCTCAGAGAGCATTCTGCACATATACCAGGAATACAAGGAAGCAAAAATAGCTGACAGTTGCTCTAATTTGTTAACACTGATTCACTCTTTCTAGACCACTGGGTCATAAGGCTGCTTAAAGGTGACCCAGCAGGCCCTGACCTTTGAGAATTGCTAAATTCACCAGGATACAAGAAAACAGCCAAAATCTAACTCGGTTTCACTCCACCATGGCTTAGGACAACATAAGCAGCATCAGTAACTTAACAACAGAATGACAAACCCATATGGTTTCCAACAACAGATTTTAAAATACAGTTTCTCCCAGCATCCTTTTGTGAATTTCTCTCCATAAGTAACAAAACATTCATTTACTAGAAGCAAAATGAGAAACACAAGCATTCTGACTCTTGCTAATGACAGGCAAAGAGGGGAACAGAAAGAAAGAACTGGATTTCTAACCCAGAGGTACCTTTTCTGGGACAGACTGGAGTTCTCTTTTCGCTCAATCTCTTTTTCTTTTTAAATTCTAAGCATTTTGAAGAGCTCAGGGAAAGAAATCAACATAGTGACAGATAAGAAATAGGGTTTAAGGCATTCAACAAACTGAAAAATAAAGCAGGCTCTCAGAAATGCAGAATTAAAGTCCAGCATTATTTTATTGCTATATTTCTACCACTGCATCTCCTCTGCTCATTCCTTCCTTTCCATTTAGAACTTCAGGTAAATCCATGCATCACACAGAAAAGCATTGTGCAAGACACAGATAACAGCTTGAGAGACAAAAACCGCTACTAACCCAGCTTTGTAGATCCTGTGATACAACAGTACAAAATTAAAGAAATTAACTTTGCAGCTCACCATTTCGAGACAAATCCAGTTCCACCAGCTGCATGAAATTCGCTATTTCTGGAGGGAGCCGCTGGATTTCATTATCACTAAGTCCAAGTTTCCGTAACTTCACAAGTTGGAAGAAAGGCTGAAAGAAAAAGAAACTCAGTGTCAGAAGACATTCGTAAAACTCACACGAATACGATAACGATGAGCAACAACAGAATGTGAAAGTTACGCTGGAAGCTGCTCACCTCATTTGAGCTGAAGTTATTGCTTAGAATCGGTTATGCCTCTTTAAGACCTCTTTCAGAACTGCATCAGAATGAATGCTTTAATTTTTTACATGCAAACACTAACTGCAAAGCTAGCCAGTAAAGATCACAGCAGATACACGCTAGTGAAATCCAGAGTGCCTGCTTCAAAATCATTAATGGGGTGAGGTTATCCATCAGGGTAATTAAAAGCATCCTAATTACACACCAGGGCTCATTAGGAAGTTAATGCACAGAGACACTTCTAAAGGATGATCCAGAAAACCCACACAGAGGGGCTGCCAAGGTCTTTGTAACAGGCAACTGCAGGAACCAACTAGGTTATGGAGCTGCTCTCCCCCAGGAACACTTCCTTTCCAGTCTCATAAATCCCACGTTCCTGTCTGGAGAGCGGCCCCATTTCAGAAGGACTAATGAAAGTTGTGTGTGATGCACATGACTTTGAGCCTCTCCAGCACAAAGAGGAACCAAACCACCATCTGGTTCTATGATCAGCTTCTCTAGCAGGCATATGTACAGCCATGTTTCTGCAGTCTATGCCCAAGGGTGACGGCAGATTCTGCAACAATTGCTTACCAACTGCAGGCACAACAGGGATGGACAGTGCATGCAAAGCAGGCAGGACACTAACTGCACCCCCAAGCTACGTCCTGGCAGCCCTCAGGAAAAAAAGAGCCATCAAATGACACCAGCCAAGCATGCAAAGGGCACCTTCACTGCGCAGACTCATAGGCACTGCAAGTCACATCAGCCCTGCACTGCACTTATCAGGTGCAGAAGCAGCTGCTAACTGAAAGGCAATAACAGTCTTTAAAAAGCTACTAAGACACAGGCACCCCTAGTGAGGGCCAAAAGCCCTTATCACAGCTTTTCTCTCTTCCAGACAGGCATTTGAAAAAGCCTGAAGCCCCATTCCTGGAGGTGTTCAAAGCCAGATTGGATGGGGTCCTGTGCAGCCTGGTCTAGTATTAAATGTGGAGGTTGGTGACCCTGCCTGTGGCAGGGGGTTGGAGCTTCATGATCCTTGAAGTCCCTTCCAACCCTGGCCATTCTGTGATTTGACAAAGTGACTGTAAGTGGTGAGGATCTGGGCAGAAACCCATACTGTTAACTACATGGAGTCTTGATGTTGAGTTCCATGTCCCTGGGCTGCACCAACATTTCTGCAGAACAGTCAAAACTGGCCCACTTGGTTACCTGTGATCCATTCTTGTAAATGAGCACCTCCATTTTGTGGGGTTTTTCTTTTTTTTTTTGGTTGGTTGGGGTTTTTTTTGTTTCTCTGTTTTAAGTGCTGGAGTGCATATAGTGCATATCACTCAATTCATAGTTACATTTTCCTATCGTTAACATCTTCTAAACCAAAGGCATTCTTTTTTGCTAAAAGTTTGTTAATGTGACAAAACCAGCAGTCAGACAGAAGCCTAGAAAAGCACTTAAAGACACATTTGTTAAAACACAGCAGGATTACATTCCACAGAAGAGATCCCAATCTGTCCTAGCACTGTCCAAAAAATACTTGGCAAGACCTACTGAAAAGGTGTCTCACTGCAGAGTTTTTCTCAGCCAGTTTGTAGCTGCTGAACCACGCAACAAACATTGATGTGCTGATAAAAACCCTTCTCATAAGCAACAGTTGTCCTTGCAAGAGATCCTTCACAATCACAAATGAGGAAAAAAATAGAAGGAACACAATTAAAAGGCAATAGATTAAGATACAAAATGATCATTAAAAAGGTATTGAGAGGTGGGGATCCATTGGAAGGCTTAGAAGCCTTCACCTCACCCACTGTCAGGAATGGATGCATTTATTTACTAGACGTGCATAGCACACCTGTGCAACAAACAAATTACACGACATCTAAAGGCACTCTTGTTTCTGTAACAGACTACTTAAAATAAATGCAAACCGGGAGCTCTGTTTCTAGTTTGTATAAAAACTTCTAATGCATGACACAGTTTCCTTGATAAAATCATAAAGTGCAGTTATGTGAATGGCGTTTCTTTGAACTTCGTGCTTTGGTTTTTTTTCCTTTAAATAAGAGAACGTAATGAGCCCTGTGTGCTCATCCTACTCCCTTTCAGTAACTGCTCATCCTTTATCCAAGGCACAACATGAATGTTCTTGAGCACTGCTGCAGTCAAACAATTACTCCTTTCTGCTGTATTTGTTTTACCTGTCAAAAAGTCCACAGGGAAGACAGGAAATCAAGAGCATGTGGAATAGAGTTCAGCAACTGTAAACATATATAGCAATATATGTTACGGCTTCAGTATACGCCAATCAGAAATGTTTCCAATATGTTACATCAAATAGAGTTCAGTTCCTATTTGAAAAGCTGTAACAGCTGAAACACATTGCAGCTCCTGTGTAAGGCAATCCAGGGCACAGCAGAACATCCCCACAACATGCTGTAATAGCAGGGTTTGACTGCAGACCCGACGTCTCTATGGGTATCTTGGCAACACTTTTAATACTGCTCAGTTAAGCCAGCCTAATTAACAGGGCTTCAATGAGACAAATAATTCCATGAGCATCAGCACTAACAGAGCCTACAACTTTCTATTTAACAGCAATTTCCAGCCTTAAATTGAAGCTTTTCTTACTATCAAAGAATGTATAGAGGTTTCTCTTATACATCTTGAATGGAGCCATTTTCTCACTGGAAAACTAATCAAGCCTCATCCACTCAGCCCTATATTTAAAAATAAATACAAAATAAAACCATGCCAGCACTTCATTCTGGCAAAATTGGGTTCATGTCAGCCAATGGAAGAAGAAAGAAAAAAGAAACAGCCTGAAGAGATAAGCAAGTAACTCACAGAAAGAGCAGCTCATGTGAGCCGGGGGGGTTTGTTTGTTACAATGCAAGTGGCACTCTTGATTCTACAAACGAAAGTCAACAGAACTAAGCCAAACTGGTTGGATTGATAAAACTCAAGATTTTCCCTCGGGAAAGTGGCCAAAACGATGCTCATTCCTTCAATGAGCCACTTGTTCCACCAAAAAATGAATGCCCAAAAACCTTTCCTGACTTAAAAATTAAAAAGAAATTTAAAAAAATAAAAGGAAATAGATGGAAACAGCTGTCAACTAAAATAAAAAACACAGGAGGGCAGGAACACCTACTTGGAGCTACAGCTGGTAAGGGGAAGAGCAGCATTTCAGTGCTAGAGCCTTCTAGTACTAGAGATATGACAAAGCAAAACTCCATTTGGCAGAGGTAGCACAAATAAATGATAGCAGTCTGAAGCAAAATGTTTCTATATAAAGGTCATTACTAGCAGCAAAGACAGCAAACATTAGAGACGAATGTAATCTACTGACTAATTTTCAGCAGAAATGAGAACGAGAAGGAGAGGAAGAATGCTGCAAATTATCTCCAGGGGTTGGAGGGTTGTATTTACACAGGAGAAAGATTTATTTACTTACATATTCTGTTGTCTCATGCACTTGAGCTGCTGCTGACATGCTTAAAAATTTGTAAGTGCTTGCTTTTATGTCACATTTACCTTTGACACCACGCTGCCTCTGCTTGTGAGTATCATCAGTGGTACTTCAGTACCTTACTAGGTCCTGAATCTTACTTTACTCATTTTCCAAACTTGCCAATGACCAGCTAAAGGATATCTAAAGGGCACTTACGAATTAAACTACTTTTAAATTACTCGGTGCTACTTTTTAACTGTTCTTTGCATTCCTGCTTCAAATCTTCCTTCAAGCTTCATCTTCTTTTCCTATACTGTAAACAAAATGAAGGGGGGGAGGTTTATTGCTTTATTTGTTCTTTTCCCTTGATCAGTTAGTTGTCCTCTTCCAATACCCAGATAGCTAAAATTGAAATCAATCCTTCCCCCATCTTTTTCATACTGCTTCAGAAAGACATCAGAAAAGTCACAGGTTTTTCTTCATGCAAACAGAAATAGAAGCTAAACTCATTTTTTGTAAGCAAACAAAACAGCAAACAGCATTCAACCCATGAGACAGTCTTAGGACACAGCCAACACAACTCCCTCCACCCCTCCAGTCAGGTCCTGAATCCTACACTACAGAATCACTTGGGTTTGGTCCCTGGAAGTCACTTTCTTGTTTGTGTAGTTACAGGGTTTCAGCAAAAAAAGCAGGGGAAACCCAACCTTTCTTTATGCTAACATGTAGCCTGCTGGTCAGGACACTACAGGGAGAAGGTTACATCACATAAGGCAGAATCAGTGCTGAGTTCTAGCAATCTGCTTCTCTGTGGAGTGTTTAATAAGCAAGTTTTTGCATAGGCATAAACACAAACACATTCCTCATGTTTACAAGAAGAGCAAGCACAAGGAGAGAAGAGTAGAATCCTCATTCCTTCCCCACTAGCCAGAAGGGAAGGATAAACCTGCTGATATGTGCTCTTCCTAATGCAGCCCAGAATAATGCCTTTGCCAAGAGGGAGTCAGCTTGTCCATCAAGGCCCCCCAGGGCCTTTTTCTTCAAAGCTGCTTTCCAGCTGATTGGCCGCCATACAACCTGTACAGCAGCACAGGTGAATCCTCCCCAGGGGCAGAACTCTGCATTTCTCTTTACTGAGCTTCATGAGGTTCCTCTCTGTCCATTTCTCCAGCCTGCCAAGGTCCCTGTGAATCACAGAACAACCCTCTGACGGATCAGCCCCTCCTCCCAGTTTTGTCTCATTTGCAAACTTGCTGATGGAGCACTCTGTCCCATCATTCAGGTTATTAATGAAGATGTTAAGCATTACTGACCTCAGTATCAATGTCTGGTTACACCATTAGGGGATGATCTCCACCTGGACTTTGTAGCACAGATGACTGTTCCTTGAGCCTGGCAAGTCAGCCCTTTTTCAGTCCACCTCACTGTTTACTTATTCAGCCCATGCTTTCTCAGCTTGTCCATGAGGATATGGGAGACAGTGCTGAAAGCCTGGCTAAAATCAAAACAAGCAACATCACCCCAGCCACCAAGCCATTCATCTCACTATAGAAAGCTATCAGGTTGATGAAGCACAATTTCTTCTCCATAATTCATGCCGTCTTCCTGTTCTTTATCTGTCTGGAGATGGCTTCCAGAAGGATTTTCACCATTACCTCCATAGGTGAGGCTGATCAGCCTGTAGCTTCCAACTCCTATCTTCAGGAAGGAAGATATGGTATTTCCTTTCTTCTGATTCTCTGGAACCTCCCCTGATCACCAAGACCTCAAGATAACCAAGAGTGGCTTTACAATAAAACTAGCCAGCTCACTCAGCACTTGTGGGTCCATCCTGCCAGGTCCTATGCAGCTGTCTATGTTCACATTATCTAAATGTTCCCTAACCTGATCGTCCTCCACTAAAAGCAACTCTTCCTTTTCCTAGACTTTTCCCATTGATCTCATAGACGCAGGATTGCTGAAGACCAGCCTTAACAGGAGACCAACATGAAGAAGTCTTTCAGTACCTTTGCTTTTTCTATGTCCTCTGTCACCATTTCAGCATTCTCTTTGCTGCACTCAAAAGCAAATTTTCCCTACTCTTTCTTTCGCTGCTTATATACTTACTGATTATCATTTTGTCCTTATCAGCCCTTCCCAGATTCAATTCCAAATGGGCTTTGACCTTCTTAACCACATACAGTGTCCCTGGGGCACTCCCAACTCAACACTCCATCCTCTTCTACACTTCCTTTTTGGTGTGAGTGTTTCAGGAGCTCTTGTTCATCTACATAGACTTCCTACCACCTTTGTTTTCCTGCTCATCGGAACGGTCTTCCTGAGCTTACAGGAGGCGACCAATGAAAATCAACTCTCTCTTCCATACCACTTTCCTCTCCAGAATGGTCTCCCCTAGACTATTGCAAGCAGATTTCTGAACATGCCAAAATCTGCTCTCCCAAAGTCTGTAGCTGTGATCCTGTTTTTCACTTTGTTCCTTTCTCTCGGGTTCCTAAACTCCACCGTCTCACAGTCACTGCAAACAAGGGGACCATGCCCCACCTACAAATCTCAGTGTCCTTTCTCATTTATAAGCAGAAAGCTCAGTAAAGCACCTCTATCCATTGTCTCCTTAATAGCCCATGATAGGAAGTTGTCATCAGTACACCCCAGAGATCTCCTGGATTGCTCTCCCCATTAGGCTGTCCATCCAGGTAACACCAGGCTGTTTCAGGTCTGCTGAGTACCTGGATCTGCACACGAGGCTGCTGCTTCTAGTTATCTGAAGGTCCCATTTATTTCTTCCTGATAGGGCAGTCTAGAGCAGACAGTAACGTTAGTATGCATGTTAATTCCAAGCTGCTCACCACTGGCCCATCATTCAGCTCAACCTTCACATATTCCCTATGCTCTCTAATGTAAAGTTAAGTTCCCCTCCTTGCCTTCCCAGTCTCTCCTGCTTAAAAAGCCAATATTCATCCACTGCAACACTCCAGCCATGTCAGATACCACACATCTTCACAATACCAGTGAGATCTATCCATTTCAAAAAGCAAATAAAATTTACTAGATTTACTCTTTGAGAAGGGACAGTTACAACCTATACATACAAACCTAAAAAGAAGTTTAGAATATCAGTTCCTTCCACACCAGAATGCCAGCTGTCAACCAAGCTGCATCATGAAAGAAATTATGGCAGAACAGTAAAATTTAGTCTAAGAGATATTTTCTAAAAACAAGGAGTGCTATGAGAAGAACAGAGTGCCCTTTTTCTTAAAGAGCTTTCACAAGATTCTGGTATGATAACAGCACCCTGGATTTCAACACCCCGTGTAATAAAGAGATGCACAGACACTGCCCAAGCTGAACACTAAGCGGCAGCTTACGTTTCTCCAACACAGAAACTGGAGCATGGGAGGTGTCTAACCAGGTCCCGTGTGGAAGTGGTCTCACATCAAAGACCAGCACAGAGAAGCACTGGCATAGAACAGAGAATTTAAAATTACAGGTGACAGATACAGCTGTGGGTAAAGTGAAAGAACTGAATTGACCAAGTTGCATCAGATTAGGTCTACAAATCCTACATATAAATAATCCCCAAAAGAAGAAAGAGTTCAGCAGACCTTTAAGCTAAACTGAGTGCACACACAAAATCTTGCCTCTTTTTTTTTCCCCATTGGAGTTTTCACATAAGCAACATCTGCTCAAAGACTCATGGGAAAGTGGTCTTTTTCCTTTGAGTAAATCAACAGAATCACACAGAATCACAGAATTGCCAGGGTTGGAAGGGACCTCAAGGATCATGAATCTCCAACCCCCCTGCCACATGCAGGGCCACCAACCATCCCACCTAATGCTAGACCAGGCTGCCCAGGGCCCCATCCAATCTGGCCTTGAACAGACACAGCAGTAGTTAGACAAACCAGCGGCGAAACAAGAGACTGAAATTACTTCCACTACTCAGCAGTGAGAAGAACACTACTGATTTCAGATAAAAGCTAAAATAAAATACTGCCTTCACGGGCTCTTAAGAAATTTCCATTTTCTAAGAAATAGGAGGAAAAAAACAACGCTGAGATCCAGTTTTCTATAGCAAATTCAGGGAGAGAGAAATTAAGCTGACAGGATGTACTGGCCCTTAAATTCTGATGCATAGGAACAGGAGACAACACTTAACTGACCATGGGCTGGTCTATAGAATTGAAAGCATCCCATTTTTACCTGATATTTTTCATTAGGTTAGCTACTGAAACCCATTGTGCAGAATGTGTTATTTTCTTCTATCAAAGCAATTTGCCAGAAAGCTTACTCTTCAGTGAAGTATAGCTCTTGACACGTAGCAAATGATATGCTACACATTACAACTTAGCCTTCAAGTTTTCACTCACAAGGAAAATAAAAATGGTTTAGGTTTAAGAAGAAAAACACAGGCTACATTTTTAAGTCGTTCTGTGCTCGCTGGTGCCCGCATAATACGTTTTTCCCAGTCAAATCAGATACAGCAAACATTCAGTGGAAGGCTCTCGGATGGAATATTGCACACCCAACACAGGAGGAATTTTTTAACAGGAGCCATACTCTTCAACTGGCCCTAGACAAAGGCCTTATTTTTAAGTCTGAAGGGTGCAGCTCTTTAATTTCTCTTGTAAAGCACAAGCAGTGAGAAGCATGTTGACAGCTAGAAATTGCCGTTCTGTGGGAAAATATCCACAACTGCCAAGAAAGGATATAGAGACCTCAGTATTGAGGAAAACCACCAGAAGCTTAACGGCACAGCCTGCTCCTCCAGCACATCCCACCAGGCTGGCTCATCCTGCAGGAAGGGCAAGAGGAGATGATGGAACCTGCAAGGCAGCAGAGGAAGGGGGGGAGCAGAGGGAGAGAGAGCAGAGCACAAAGAAGGAAAACATCTTCAAGGGCAGTCAAGAATCAGGCACAGAAGGATGTGAGAGAGAGGAAGCAAGGAGCAGAAAGAGAGTTTAGACTGAAGGAAGTAAGCAAGATCCTGGGACATCCAAGGACATGGCAGGAAGGGAAAATATGCGTGGGCAGGGCAAGGAGCCTGAGACACCAGTGGTAGCAGCTAAGAAAGGTCACTGTCAACACAAACACGGGCAAGTTCTCTAGCACACTGCTGAGTAATGAGGCAGAACGGTTAGGGAGGCCTGGGAAAGGAAGAGGAGTGCTGAAATGGGAAACCAAAAGGATCCCTGTGCAACAGCAAGAGGATAATTATTTATTTTTTTTATTGAGCGACTGTAAAAATTATTAATTTGTGTTCCTGGGAGGATGATGGGTATATACTTTAAAAAAAAAAAAAAAAATAGGGAAAAAACGGGGGTCTCATCTTGGTTCACATGTGCCTTAATACAGAAAAGAAGGAAACAAAGCGGGAGCAGAAATAATGGGGAGCAGAGACATTCAGAGTTGTAGAAAGGCTCTGGGCGGAAGGGATGTCAAAGATCACCTTGCTCCAACTGCCTCCTGTGCGCAGGGCTGCTGGCTGCTACATCAAGCAGCAGCTCAGGCTGCCCAGGGCCCCATCCAGCCCGGCCTTCAGCAGCTCCAGGCTCGGGGCACCCGCAGCCGCCCCAGCAGCCTGCGCCTCACCGCCCCTCCGACAAACTTCCCCGACACCTGATCTCCATCTCCCCGCCTTTACTTTAAAACCCTTCCCCCTATCTCTACCTGCCCGTGTAAAAAGTCGATCTCCCTCCTGCCTGAAGCTCCCTTTAAAGTAGTGGAAGGCCACAACGAGTTCTTCCCGGACCCTCCCCTCCTCCAGACCGCACGAGCCCAGCTCCCTCAGCTCCAGCCCTCCGATCATCTTCGCGTCCCTCCTCCGGACGCACTCCAACAGCTCCGCATTTCCCTCGCTCTGGGTCCCCACACCCGCACGCAGCACTCCAGAAGGGCCCCCACGGCCGCCCCTCGCTCTCCCGGCGCGGCGCGGCGGCCACCTGCCGGGCTGCTCACCTGCGCCCTCCCTCCGCCGCGCTCGGGCGACGCGGCGGCTCTGGAACCGGTTTCACCCCGCCCGCCCCTTCACCTCCCCGCGCTCACCTTGGGCAGCTCGCGGAGCTGGTTGGCGTCCAGCAGCAGCTCCTCCAGGCTGCGGCTGTAGCGGTAAATCTCCTCGGGCACGGCGGCCAGAGAGCAGTGCCGCTTGTCGATGGACTCCACGTGACGGTTGCACCGCCACAGGGGGATGCAGTGGAACATCGCCGCGGAGCGCGCCGCCCCGCCGGGGGGACGGGCCGCTGGGGGCCGCGGGGCGGGCGACGCCGCTCACCGCCGCCCCCTCCCCGCCGGCCGCTCGCCGCCGCGGGTCCCGGCGAGACGGCGGCAACGCGCATCCAGCGCGCCCCGGCGGAGGGAAGCGGCCCCGGGCGAGCGCGCCGCCGGCCCCGGGGGAAGGGGGGGGGAGAGCGGCGGGCGGGAGCCGGAGCGCGGCGGGAGCGGCCCCCTATTGTCCCTCGGCGGGCCGCTGCCGGCCCCGCAGGGGCGTCGCGGGGCGCCGGGCGCTGCGCTGCTGGCGGACGCCGCGCATTCCCGCGCCTGACCCGGAACACGGCGGCCGCTCCCCCTCCCTCTCTCCCTCCCCTCCTCCCCCGTCCCGGCTGACATCAGCGGGGCCGGGCCCCGCCGCGCCGCCCCGCCCCGGCTCCGGGCCGCGCCGCCGCAACTTTCCGCGGTCCCGCCGCCCTCGTCCCGGGGCGGAGGCGCAGGACGAGCGGTGCGAAGGAGCCGCGGTGCCCTCGGGCCGTCCCGCCCGCCCCCGTTGCCTGCCTTTGGCCCTGCCTGAGGCGCCCGCCAACCTCGCCGAGCGTCTGCGGGTCGCGTCAGTGTTTTCCTTTTCAACTGTTCGGGCACAGAGTTATGAGGAAAGTGGTGCAGTAAATGTGGGAAGTGGTGAACTGAAAGTACGGGACGCTGTTTGGGCTCCGGAGCCATTGCTGATCTTGTTCCAAAAAAAAAAAAAGAAAAAAAAAGAAAAAAAAAAAGAAAAGAAATCAATATGCTACACTTAAGGCTTTCTGAAACAAGAGCCCCATCCAGCCTAACTTGGAATGCCTGCAGGGATGGGGAAACCCACCACCTCTCCAGGCAACCTGTTCCACTGCCTCACCACCCTCATTGTAACAAACTTCTGCCTTATATCCAGCCTAAATCTCCCCTCTTTTACTTTGAAATCATTTCACTAGCCCTATCGCAACAAATCCCGCTAAAGAATTCTTCCCCTCCGTTTAGATACTGAAAAGCCACCATCGGGTCTCCTGGAGCCTTCTCTTCTCCATGGCCTTGGAGGGTCTCCATTGCTGGGTTCTGTAATGCCAGTTTGGGAACACACATGGTGATATAAAATAGACTTGAAAACAGGCATCTGACATCAGAGCTTCTCTTAAAGCAGTATGATCTTCTTGCATAATGATAACTGCGCGCATTTACAGGAGTGGGGTGGAAGGAGAAGTTTATCATAGCAGCCTCTGCCCTTCTGTCCCTGTGCAATAAGTAGTCATAAAATCACTTTTTTTTCCCCTAAATGGACTGATAAGTCTTGCAAGCTACGTTTGTTTAATTTCTGTGGACACTGCAGTGATCTGCCTATTTTAGGGCATTTTTGGACTGTGTGTAGTGTTACAGTTTGCTGTCTACAAATTAATAAACTTTTCAAAAGTTACCCTTTGGGTGTATTATTATATAATAATATATGAACCAATATAATCAGTAATTAAAATAAATATGTGGAAACTCCCTGTGTATCTAAGTAAAGAATACAAAAAAGTCAGAGCGGAAAGGACTGTGAACATCTCTGACTTGATAACAACTAAGCTGTTTAGAAATCAGCAGGAAGTGATCAGCTGTACTGAATTCTGAGCATGCTGTGATTAAAGATGTGTGTTGGAGAGAAAGTGTCAGTATTTCAGCATACATTTAATCCAGTGTGAGTGCGCCAATTGTTTATAGCACATGAAAACAAAAGCTGTGATTGATCTTTCTCATCTTGCATGTGAAAGGAAGATCACCTGCGGACTTTGAGAGGAGTCTGATCCACTGCAAGTCTGTGGTTAAATTCGTGGTGTGGAAACAAGCATCAAGGAAGCCGGGAGGCAAACTGTTGTTGAGGAAGCAGTATTCTCACAGCTGAAAGCATCACCCTGAACTTCAGCTTGCAAATAAAACCCATCCAGTTTGGGTAGGTGTAATGAGTTACTGGTCTCTGCTGCTCTGAGAATCAGCAGAATCAGATTGCCCCAGTGAGCAATCAGAGGATGACAGTACATTGACAGGATTTGTACAGGCACATATGTGACAAACTTCTTAACGGGGTAATTGTGCCCCGCAGGGATGAGAGAGGCACTGCCTGCTCTGATAGCAGCTCAGATGAGTGGCACACCAAAGTGTGGCTCACCTACAGAAGGAAGCAAGGGCTGTTCTCTCCCAGTTCTGCCTGTCTCCTGCTGCCATTTGATAGCCATTTGGTTTGTCCTTTTCTTTCCTCTCCTGTCCTCTCCCTTTTTTTTTTTTTTTTGTTTGTTTGTTTGTTTGTTTCTTAAAGTACTTCTGTACTTTTATATATGTTTGCCTTAACTTTATTTACTCAAGACAGCTAGGTTTTGTCTTACAACTCTCCCAGCAGTGCCCAGAGCCTTTGAGGTGTATGGAATCTGTAAGAGACGCAGTGCCACAGACTTTTTTTGTTAGAGAAATGAATGCCTACAGCAGGTTCTTTCTTGGCAAGCTGCTTTACTCGGCCTCAGGCAGACACCATCAGGCTTCTCCAAACTCAGCTTTGGAGGGGAATAGATGAACTCTGGTTCACCATCATGCCACAGTTCACATTTTTTTCTATTGTTCACACTGCAGTCAGGCAACCCACACCAGGCTTTGTGTCCATCACCATTGCTCTGCTGAAGTGCTTTAAGGTGCATATAAACACAGGAGAAATTGTTACCAAAAACATTCTTCTTCTTTTAAAGAGGACGTACTCCTGAGGGCTGGCTACACCCCACTTACTCACAGCACATGTGCAAGGAGCAACGTCACCTACTCAGGACTGCCAGCAGGGCTGTGCTGCGTGTAGGGATCACCTTCTCAGCTGGAAATGGCAGCAGGTGCTTGCTGCACATGCTGTCATGTCAGAACTGATATCTGGGAGACAGGTTACAACTGAAAACTTAATATCTTCTGGACTATCAGACAAACTGCCATCCTACAACCACTACCAGGTCTGGGTATGTAGGCAGGAACATCAGTCCTTGTATCTGCCTGCCAACAAATATTATATATATATGTATATATATGTATATAAAACTACTTTTCTGTGATTTTAAGGACCTCAGACAATGAAATGTAAAATATAGATAAGGTGAAGCTGACCTCAGGAGCATTCTTCCCACACTGCCCCTCCTTGGCACCGATTATGCAGAACTGCTCTCTGATTTTCCAAAAGGAACACTACATTTGTTTGCAATCCAAGCAACCAATGTCAAGTTTTGAGTTCCTTATAATAGGCCCTGGTTTTTGGTAAATATGAAGAAGGTGAGTGCTGCTACAGCAAAAGCAGCAATAACTGAGTCAGGACAGTAAAGAGCATTTTGGAGTACAGAGGGGGAAAAAAAAAAAGAGAGAGAATGGAGAGAAATAGCTTTTAGCATCATCATAGTTTAAGTAATTCATAAAATTCAGAGTTTAAGACCCACTTAAATTAACATTAAGAAAATAATGAAAAGGAAAAAAAAAGCACACCAAGTTCCTGAAGCTACTTCTGCATGAAGGCCTTCTTGCCTCCCGCAGCCAGGTTTCCCAGTGCCCTCAGAGAGGAGGAGATGCAATTACAGAACATGAAGAAGCAGGGGCAAAACAAGAAAGGCACAAAGAAAGGAGAAGGAGAGACTCAGACTGCAGGTGATAGCAGCAGTTCAGGCTGCAATAATCGAACCAGCATTCTGAGTACACAGGCTTTAATGCCACTGGAGGAGGAGTTAGCCACCCCTGTGAACATTCAACGAGAGTACTGCTGAACTACCAGCAAGCACAAAGTCTGCAGAGCTGCTACAGTGCTGGAGTTCGCTAGCACTGACATACACCTCTCAGTTTTGCTGGATGAGGACTCCAACCACACTTATTCCTCTGTTTTTGTTTGAATTGTTTAGAAGGGGGCTGTACAAGCAGCAGGTGGGTGGAACTACGAAGCATTCCTATGTTGATTATAGCTCCAAAGACTGCAATGAATTCTGGTTACCTAGTCACAAGCATCACATCCACAAAGTTTTTGTGCGTCTGAAATAATTGGTATGGAATAATGTTAACGTATCGTTGTTACAAAGATATCCCTATGAGTTCCAGTGAATTACCATCTGCTAATGCAAAGCCTCAGTGGCACATGATGCCAGCGGTGCATTTAACACATTCAGTGTGTTTTTGTAGTGCTATAAATAGCAATCATTTTGAGCAATAGCTGCTGCATCTCTTCTCTCCTCCTCTCCACTCCCACCCCCAAACAAATCGCTCACGTCACCTTTTATTTGAACACAATGAGCTGTAATCACATGAGGTATTACTTTGCTTTAATCCTATTTGCTTCAGTTTGGTTTGTAAGGAGTGGCCAATAATATGCTGTTCCATTGTATCCTATGGTTTCTTATTTCACACCAACTTTCAGGGGCTGACACCCATCATCCTCTTTGGCCAGAAGAACAAATTAATAGGTTCTGGCGGGTAGGGAGAAGCTTGTGACTGGGGATGTTTTTTTCTCCCTTTCATTCTTTTTTTTTGTCCTTTGCTTTCCTTTCCATTGCTATGCTGTCACAGCTGCTGGCTAGATTGTGAGCCCCAAATATTTTTCAGGTTTTCATTATTTTGCTTTGTCCAAGAAGAGGTCCGACCTCTCACAGCAAATTTTTACTTATTTTACTGTCAACCAAACAAGCAGAGGCAAAAATTCAGACCTGTGTTTGAATTTTTTTGAATCAACACCATAATTTAATTAAATATCATTCCAATGTGTGCAGTTTAGTGCTCTGTTTCCCATGACCAACAGAGACAACCAACCTGCTGGATCTGGGATTAAAATGAAATAACAGGCACCAGGAGGAGGTAAGTCACCCTACCCTGCATTCAGACCTGACAGAGAAACCTCGGGTTTTTGGTAGGCATCAAGCCACACCTTCATCCCATGCTCTTCATCCACTGGATGAGGAGGAACCCAGCTCCCAGTGGGCTTGAAGCCAGGTTCATTCAGCATTACTGTACAGGAAGCTGCAGCATTACTGTGCA